ACTAGTTAACGTCATGAGTCAGATGTATAATGAGTGTATGTTTGTCCTCACTAGTTAACGTCATGAGTCAGATGTATAATGAGTGTATGTTTGTCCTCACGATTAACGTCATGAGTCAGATGTATAATGAGTGTTTCTCCTCACTAGTTAACGTCATGAGTCAGATGTATAATAGTGTATGTTTGTCCTCACTAGTTAACGTCATGAGTCAGATGTATAATGAGTGTATGTTTGTCCTCACGAGTTAACGTCATGAGTCAGATGTAATGAGTGTATGTTCGTCCTCACGATTAACGTCACGAGTCAGATGTATATGAGTATGTTTGTCCTCACTAGTTAACGTCATGAGTCAGATGTATAATGAGTGTATGTTTGTCCTCACTAGTTAACGTCATGAGTCAGATGTATAATGAGTGTATGTTTGTCCTCCGATTAACGCTCGCGAGTCAGATGTATAATGAGTGTTTGTTTGTCCTCACGATTAACGTCATGAGTCAGATGTATAATGAGTGTATGTTTGTCTCACGATTAACGTCATGGAGTCGATGTATAATGAGTGTATGTTTGTCTTCACTAGTTAACGTCATGAGTCAGATGTATAATGAGTGTATGTTTGTCCTCACGATTAACGTCATGAGTCAGATGTATAATGAGTGTATGTTTGTCCTCACTAGTTAACGTCATGAGTCAGATGTATAATGAGTGTATGTTTGTCCTCACTAGTTAACGTCATGAGTCAGATGTATAATGAGTGTATGTTTGTCCTCACGAGTTAACGTCATGAGTCAGATGTATAATGAGTGTATGTCCTCACGATTAACGTCATGAGTCAGATGTATAATGAGTATGTTTGTCCTCACTAGTTAACGTCATGAGTCAGATGTATAATGAGTGTATGTTTGTCCTCACTAGTTAACCTCATGAGTCAGATGTATACGAGGTATGTTTGTCCTCACGATTAACGTCATGAGTCAGATGTATAATGAGTGTTTGTTTGTCCTCACGATTAACGTCATGAGTCAGATGTATAATGAGTGTATGTTTGTCCTCACGATTAACGTCATGAGTCAGATGTATAATGAGTGTATGTTTGTCCTCACGATTAACGTTATGAGTCAGATGTATAATGAGTGTATGTTTGTCCTCACGATTAACGTCATGAGTCAGATGTATAATGAGTGTATGTTTGTCCTCACGATTAACGTCATGAATCAGATGCATAATGAGTGGTGTTTGTCCTCACGATTAACGTCATGAGTCAGATGTATAATGAGTGTATGTTTGTCCTCACTAGTTAACGTCATGAGTCAGATGTATAATGAGTGTTTGTACTCACAAGTTAACAACGTCATGAGTCAGATGTATAATGAGTGTATGTTTGTCCTCACGATTAACGTCATGAGTCAGATGTATAATGAGTGTATAGTTTGTCCTCACGATTAACGTCATGAGTCAGATGGAATGAGTGTATGTTTGTTCACGATTAACGTCATGGAGTCAGATGTATAATGAGTGTATGTTTGTCCTCACGATTAACGTCATGAGTCAGATGTATAATGAGTGTATGTTTGTCTCACGATTAACGTCATGAATCAGATGCATACGAGTGTATGTTTGTCCTCACGATTAACGTCATGAGTCGATGTATAATGAGTGTATGTTTGTCCTCACGATTAACGTCATGAGTCAGATGTATAATGAGTATGTTTGTCCTCACGATTAACGTCATGAGTCAGATGTATATGAGTGTATGTTTGTCCTCACTAGTTAACGTCATGAGTCAGGTGTATAATGAGTGCAGTGTATATGTCCTCAGGCCCAGCGTTCTACCTGTTCGTGGGGCTGCAGGGCTTGGGGCTGGTGGCGCTCTCTGTAGACCTCAGTTCAAGACGCCGTGTGAGCAATACGTAACTGAACGAAGTACAATGGAT